AATTTTGACTGCCAACTACAAGCTGAAAAAGTTTGAGAAGGTTTATCTACTGTTCCCTCGTTAGATTTTTAGCTCATCTCGCTCTGGCTAACATTAGTTGTTGATCTTGTTGTTGTTGTGCATAGGCAACTGAGGGAGAAATATCCTACCTCTTCATGGTTGTTTGATCAATAGGACTGTGAAGTTCCCAAATGTAAGAGGACTCCCGTGGTGTATTTTGTGGCTTTTGGCGAATGCATTCTAATGATCTAAAGTCGTGCTTTTGCTACTGCCTGTAAACACACAGTCCGGTTCAAAGTGGATGATGGCAGGCTAGTGTGGAAAATGGCTTATTTGCATATAGGCCTACTGTAGCTCTGATTGGCTATGGCGCACGGTTTGTGTAGAGTCTGGTCCTGGACAAGACTGACACGTTTTTATTAGGTTTTATTTACTGCAGTGTCTATTAATTGTCCAAACGCACTGCTGCTTTCCCACTCTATTTTGCTATAGATTTCACATTTTTTACATTAAAATTTTTAGTCATTTAGCAGACGCTCTTATCCAGAGCGACTTACAGGAGCAATTAGGGTTAAGTGCCTTGCTTAAGGGAACATCGACAGATTTTTCACCTAGTCGGCTCGGGGATTAGAACCAGCGACCTTTCGGTTACTGGCACAACGCTCTTACCCACTAAGCTACCTGCCACCCCACAATGCCTTACTATACCATACGTCATTCCCAAACTTTCTATAAAAATATTAAAACGTGAAAATTACCGTGTCTAAGTGCTCGATTTCAGAAAATGTTTAAAAAAAGACATCATATTCTTCCTGGGGGTGTATATGAACAGATTTTAGTAAGATTTCATGTTGCTAAAATGCTCTCAGTTCCACTTTAATGAACATTAATAATGCCTGCTATAGTGTTTCTTTAAATCAGGGATCTCAAACTAACAGTTTGGGGGCCACATCAGGCTTGCTTTTTGTGACCCCCATGATAACTGCAAGACTGACATTGACCCCAGGTAATTTGGTTTAGAATTCTGGCTTTAAACAAAGGAATGTATCCATTACTGTGTTAGAGTAGTGGAAAAGCAAAATGCTCTCAAGGGGGAAAGAGGGGATGACGTACTCTGCAGTGTCTGACCAGAGATGTGGAGTAGAGGGGAGTAGGGAGTAGGACAGGGTAGGAGACACTCAGTAAAAGGTCATGGGCCTGGGCCAAACACAGCCAAAGGGATGGAATGATGACATTGGTCCAACTATAGGCCTTTTTCTAAACCTTTGAATTCACTTTTAGAAACACCATATTTGCGCAATGCCGCCCGGTAGTCTATAGCCTAGTTTGTAAGTTAATTTAGCCTAGCAGACGCTCTTATATTCCCATGCCCTAACCATAGTCAACACAAATCTATTTTGTAATAACAATATAATGGAGTAGAATATTTGAAAATTATATTTTCCCAAATGAAAAAAAGTGGTGGCATGTGTGCGTAATGATAATTAAACTGGCAACGTCGAGCGCCGGAGAGGGGGAGCGGGAATAGACGTGACAAAATCAAAATGTCTTCGGTGCGTCATCATGCACTCATTCATTGTCTTCCCATCAATTATACAGGCTGTCAGTGACCTATTTCTTGGTCGATTTATATCAATATCTTTGCGCATTACTAGTGGTGGGGTAGGCTAAATAAATACCGGAGCAAAATTGGAGCAGGAGCACTACAAAAATAATATGCTCTGCTCCAACCAAATTATGCACGCTCCCCTCCAGCTCCACTCCACCCACATGCGCTGATCAGGAGGAAGCTCAATGCCCCCCAATTGATCCTTTGCTAAGCCCTGCCCCCCATAGTTACTGTTGCAACCTCAGTATAATTTCTTCACAGGAACCTGATAAATTATGTTTGTGCTGTGGCTAGCCACTGAATGGCTCTGAATTCACTGTCAGCATGGAGTCAAAGCTACTAACCACTTTTGGAGCTAACTAGTGCTCTCAAATCGTATCCTGATGTCGACAGCAGATGGGAGTTGTATTCATAACATGGCCAACTTAGCTAGCTAACATACATTTCAAGAAAACAAGTTATATTAAGTGGCTAGCTAACTAGCTAGCATTATCAACGTTTGGTGGTCAGTGAGACTGAGAACTAGCTAATCAGCTGAGCTAGCAAACAATGTAACGAAAGCATAATTTCGGATTAGAAAAATACTCTAACAGGCTCTGCATTTCAGGAATCACAGTAGCAAGTACCCTTGGTGCACTGTTAAATTATTAGCCATTTAAACAATTTATTTCTTGACATCACAGGCTTTTATGCATTTGAAACTTGAGCTTGTCGACGACAATTGCTATTAGTGATGTGCAGTTCACAAACAATTTGTTCTATTTTAACAAGTTTCAAGTTTTAATGTCACGTGCAAAAATACAGTGAAATGCCTGTCTTGCAAGCTCCAAGTCCAACAATCTAGTAATCAATATCAATAACAATGTTGCACAAAAAATAACACGAGAAATA